CCCGGCCCCGGCCCGGTCAGCACTGGACAGCTCCCGGCCGCGGGGCAGCGGCGCGCTCTGACGGGCTTCTCTGTTCCAGGATCCTGCTGACGGTGGTGGTGATCTTCCGGATACTCATTGTGGCCATTGTAGGGGAGACGGTGTACGATGACGAGCAAACTATGTTTGTGTGTAACACGCTGCAGCCAGGCTGCAATCAGGCTTGTTACGACCAGGCTTTCCCTATTTCTCATATAAGGTACTGGGTGTTCCAGATCATCATGGTGTGCACTCCCAGCCTCTGCTTCATAACGTACTCTGTTCACCAGTCTGCTAAGCAGAGGGAACGGAGGTACTCCACTGTCTTCCTCACCTTGGAGAGGGACCAGGACTCAATGAAGCGTGAGGACAGTAAGAAAATCAAGAACACCATTGTCAATGGGGTGCTGCAGAACACCGAGAACTCCACCAAAGAGGCAGAACCAGACTGCTTAGAAGTGAAGGAAATCCCCAATCCTGCTATCAGAACTACAAAGTCAAAGATGAGGCGGCAAGAAGGCATTTCTCGATTTTATATCATTCAAGTGGTCTTTCGAAATGCCCTAGAGATTGGATTCTTAGTGGGACAATATTTTCTGTATGGATTCAATGTCCCTTCCATGTACGAATGTGACAGATACCCTTGCATTAAAGAAGTAGAGTGCTATGTCTCTAGACCCACTGAGAAGACTGTATTCTTGGTATTCATGTTTGCTGTCAGTGGGATTTGTGTGGTGCTCAATTTGGCAGAACTGAACCACTTGGGCTGGAGAAAGATCAAAATGGCAGTGAGAGGAGTACAGGCAAAAAGGAAATCCATATATGAAATCAGAAATAAGGACCTGCCAAGAATGAGCATGCCTAACTTTGGCAGGACTCAGTCAAGTGACTCAGCTTATGTGTGAGGCTGTGACAGAACTGAAACACTGTGCCAGGTGGAACAGACCCAGACACCATTAGAGAAAGGTACATTGCTTAGGCAAGCATTTTATCAAACCACCAAGAAAGCCATTAAGGTATTGGATCTGCACTTACTGAACTAGATGCAAAATGCAGTGCTATGTAAAAGACTGAAAAAACACCTATAAGACCATGCTTGATCTAGCCTTACAGCACAGTTACTATTATTATCCTTTTTCTTTCTAATGATTGGGTGTTATCTTTCGATGGAGCAGCTTTTTGATCATCATTAGGATGAGACTACAGTTTGGGCTGTGTCTGACTAATTGTTGTAAACGTGTAGAATGTTCTTATTAAAAATCTGCAAGGATACTCTATATGGGATGGGGTGGGGTGGGGGAAACTGTTGCAATGTGCAAATGTAAGCATGTTTAAAAAGGAGGGTAACAGCACTGTTAGGAACCTGACCACAGCTTGATCAGGACATCTGTGCACACCTATTTCACGGATGTCTGATATTATTTTGTTTGTCCACATCACAGCATTTATTTCTGGTGTGTATTACTAGCTATTTTCTAACATAGTTTGTACAACAATTAGTTATGCTAAACAATAAATGCAGAATATAATTTTGCCATTTTTTTTGTTTGCCTGTCCACACACACACCAGAGACCTTAATCATCTTACATTAGTTGTGACCTACAAAATATTTCAGTACATTTCAGTTTTTTCCCTAATATGTGCATAAATAAGATGGAGCTGGTTCATGTCAGCAAGCTTATGTATTTACCTACAGTTACCTATGATGACACACATACCAAAGGAACAGAGTTCATTGCTTTTAACTGTGAATATATCACCTTCTCTCTGCTCTTATTTATATAAGTGCCATACTTGAAACATCTAACTCTGTACAAAAGGTTGTTTTGGGATACCAGCTGGAATAAAGTGATTTTATACTCTCCTTTGCTTATTTTATGCTATTTGTTCAGTCATTGCAATGGTATAAAAAGCAGCTAAAATCTCTATTGATAAATAAAGTACTTGCCTTTTTTTGTAAGTTAGGGAGATTTACTCTTCTTTATTATTATATACAGTTACAGAAACATATGAGGCCGAAATAATTGACTTACAATAATCACTCTTTAGGGTTTGAAGTGTCTTGTTGATATCCTGAACACTAAGGGACAAAACCTGGGAAATCAGGGCTATCCATTATGTCTGTATTCCCCCTTAAGCAATGCTTCCCTGTCTTTAAAGCCTGATCCAAAGCCCACTGATACCAACAGCCTTCTTTCTGCTGATGCTAAGGGCAACACAGCTGGCTGCCAAGGTCACTCTGGGAAGAGGCAGAGTACATTTACCTATAACTGAAACAATTGCAGCTCTTCATCGGAGAATCCAAATAGCAACTGCAGCTTTTCTGCCTTCCAGCTGGTTCAAAAAATACACTGTTCATGTCCCATCGACACGAAGGTGGTCACAAGTGAATCTCTATTAATAGTGATCATTTTACTACAGGACACTAAGTTTTACTCTAGGACCTTATTTAATTACCACTGCAGTCGACAGAAACTATCCTAATGGCAACAGTAGGAGTTGGATCAGGACTCAGAAACAATACAAGTGCTAAGTAAACGATATCTTAAAAGAAAAAGGCCAAAATGGTGCTGGAAAGTTTGGGGGTACTTTATAACATGACAGGGAGATAGGGGCTCAGACTTGCAAATGGGCTCTTGATCGTGTTTTATTTTGACCAGATAATAGATTTTACAGTATTTTTGCCTAAAGACCATGCATATAAATCTTTTCTTCTTAGCTCACAGTAGATATGTCAACATTTCATTCTTATCATTTGCCAGCATTGTCACTTAAAAAAATGTTGATTAATGCTTACACAATATATTATCACTTTCATCTGTGGATTTTTTCCTTCCACTCTGAAACATAAGACTTTGAGTTTTGTCATATTTTTAAATCTTTTAAAAGTAATTTTCCTTATATGCAAAAAAGAATAGTATTTCCAATTTGATTACAGAAACCCACAAAAACAGATTTGTCAAATGGTTCTTTGTGATATAAAAGCACACTGGTATTGCTAGTTGACTGCATGCTCACTGTGGAAAACTGCATGTTATTTTTAGAAGTACAACATGGCAGCTAAAATCTCCATCTGCAATGTAACAAGCTTCTAAAGATTATTATTTGACACGCAAATCCAAGTCTGACTTTCATTTTGCAGAGTCCGGGGATGTTTTACAAAATCTCCTTTGGAGTAGAAGTTGAAGGGGAAAATATTGTTTGACCATAATAAGCATTGTTTTAATGCTGAAGAAATGAGAGATTGTGTGCAAAGGGCTCAATTTAATGTGAATTAAAGTTGGAGGAAAAAACTCCTACTGACTTCAATGGGCTTTGGATCAGGTTTAGCATAATTTTCTGTTATGCAGAAGCCCTAATGTGAGTTATTTTCCGTAGCTTCAAAGTAGTATTTAGTCAAAACTAGTGAACGTGCATGTCTTGATAGCTACAAGATTTTAATACCTTAAAATCCTGTAGATAAGACGAAGAAAGGGTCTGTTTATAAAAGTTAGCTTCAGTGACTCAGTTCATTCCATTATTTTATGCAGTTGCACATTTTGTATTACTGTAAGTTGGGAGTATTCAGAATTTTGTGAGAGAAATATGTAAGGAAATATAGATGCTAATTTATGCAGCAGGATCAGTGATAACCTAGGCAAACATTCATATCTGGATGAACAGAAATGTAATCCTCAATATTTTCACTAAACAGTATATGGCTTTTCTTATTTCAGAAGAGAAGTGAAATAATATCAAGAAAGTGGTTGTTCTAGTCATCCTTTTCAATTATCATTTTTCTTTTCTTGCCAGCTGCTTGTCATGAACAAGAGAAATAGCGTAAACTCTTTTTTTGTCAATGCATTATGTCAGAGTCATATGATTAATGCTAATGGACTGTTTGCATGAGAGCAGACTATTCATTTACAGAATAAATGTTTTAAAATTATCACAGCAATGGAAAAGTGTGTTAACTAAACAGAACCGAGTGACTGTGACACTGAATGGAACATTACTGCCTACTCAGGCCTTGATCCTGCCTCATTGAAATCAATTAGAGTTTTAGCACTGATATCCATGGAAGAATCAGACATTAGCTATAAGCATTCAGTTTACGTTTATTTCATTCATTGCATATCCTGTTTTGTACTGGTGGCCAATAGTGTATCTCATGATAAATGCAAACATAAAATTTATGATCAGTAAGCTTTTTTGGAAAGCTACAATAGCATTTAATGCAATATTGGTTCTGTGGAACTTTAATATCATATCATGTAAAACAATGGAGATTATTTAACTTATATGTAGCCCTTATCTTGTGCTTTTCAAACCAATGGGAATTTCAAAAATAATTTACATAGTGCTTTCGAACTATTTTACAAGACATATTTAAATTGCAATGACATACAGTAAAAAGGTTTAAAAATATCTAGCAATTGCTTTTCACGATGAACACTACATTTTGCGGGGGTAACTTGAATTGACTGTTCCTATAATTAGTTCAGCTTTATAGACCATTGACTTTGAAGAAATATAAAGGCTTTTGTATTTCTTAAAGAAAGTCTGCAGAATGAGCAGATCAAGTGAGATGAACAGGTTGCCCAGAGAGGTAGTGGAGTCTCCTTGCCTGGAGATATTCAAAACCCGCCTGGATGCGATCCTGAGAAATATGCTCTAGAGGACCCTGCTTGAGCAGGGGGGTTGGACTAGATGATCCCCAGAGGTCCCTTCCAACCTCAACCATTCTGTGATTCTGTGAATCTGTGATGAACATATCAAGGAAGAAGTGAGATTGATTTTGAGTTGTTCTGCACCAGAGAAGTCAGAAGTCAGGAAAGCTCAGAAACTCCAGAAAGGGCTCAACGCTTGTCCTGCCTTCTACCTAATAGGGTCGGACAGAGCTGTTGATATGTAGGACTGTAGGAAAAGAGTAGATGAAAGGTTAAGGATAAATGTGAGGAAGACTTTTTCATGCACAGCTAAGGGTATAGCTACATTTATTGTAGGGCAAGAGGATGAATAAGATGTACATTGTCCCTGCATCCTTGTGCCTTTATTTTGTTTGAATGTAAATATTCTCTTCCCCCTTACTCCTTCAGTGAAACCTGTTAGAGGCTTTTGCTTGATCTGAAAATATAGAAATGGGATTAAAAAATGGAGAAACATGAGGGAGAAAACAGGCAGAGTTTTCTTCATTTAGGGTCTGATTTTGTTCTTTCAACAATAATGGGACTTTGTCTTTTGTGGCACCAAGTCAATTTCCAGCTGAGGAGAAACTCCATTCCATTATTTCATGATATTAACAGAAGAGATCACCTTATTTCTGTACTGCCCACTCATTCCTGAACATTTTGGTGTACTTTTTCCAGGTATTATATTTTATTGTAAACTTTACAAGGTTAGTATCATCTAGTAAGCCTAAAGCCAGATTCTAAACCTATTTCCCTCCACACTGAAACACTGAGGATATCTGTGAAGAAAAATTGCATTAGGAAGTACTTCATATTCTCTCTGTTAACTTGCATTATAGCAGTCAATCAGGAGTATGAAGTAAGTGCAGTCAGATGATATGGAGAATTATATAGAAATGTACTACTAATAAATGGTATATCTTATATATATAAAAACATGTATAATAATATATAATAACCACATAATATATAGAATAACCATGTAACCAAAAATAATATATAAAAGTAATATATGTAAATATATGCAAGATTGCTAAAGGAGTTTAATCTAAATTATATTGCTATGTTATGGACTAAATCTCAGAGATGGATACAGAACAGGTCCTGCATCCAAAGGGACCATTAAAAATCACACAAATAATCTATGTATGTACTCTGCAATGTTCTAACTGGACATTTGACACCCAAAGACATCTATGATGACCCTTTTTGTGTAAATTCTGGGGCTATGGGCTACACGAATTGCTATAGCAAGTTTAACTGATTAGTTGTATATCTAAGCTACAGCTAAAGAGAGACATGCAATTCATTGCACTAAAATCTATCAGCTTTTTCTAATGGTGACAGACGTACAGGATGAACTAGATCTCTAGCTTGTGAAAACCCACATATACAGTTACCCTCTTTGATTTCCCCCCAGTATCTCCCAGATTCAACAGAACGTGCAAGTAAGTCTCTTTTCCAGTATGTGGTGTGTCTGGAAAGAAGGACGGATAAAGGTTTACTAGTACCTGGATAACAATTAATGCATTCTAAAGTGTTAAGAAATTTGGGACTTTTGGTCTCTATCAATGAAAGCAGAATTTTGTTGCACTTAA